AAACCAAGGGACCTTTTTTTTTTTTTTCCCTTTGGACAGGTTCTCCCTATGTAGCCTAGGAACTCACTGTGTATCCCCAGGCTGGCCTCAAACTTGTAGCTACCATCGTGCCTCAGCCTCCTGAGCATTGGGTCAGTCATTACACATAGCTTCAGCGAACCCCTTTAATTGTGAATCTATGTCACACAGTTAAGTGTAGACATATCTTCAGGAAATACCAAAGAGACCCCCAGAATCTCTAGCCAGCCTGACTGATGAGGGACTTCTGTAAAATGAGGGTCTTCTGCAGAATGAATGAGAAGTCTGTAAAGACTGATGGAGATGGGTGTCTCTTCAAATGTTCAAATCCTAGCAAAATTAGTCAATCATAGCAAAAAATTGGGGAAAAGTCAATCAAAGAGCTCGAATATACTGTAGAGAGAACGAACCCACGATTTCCTCGGGTGAGGAAGGGGGAAAGAACAGGAAGAGAATAGCAAATGGCAGAATGAGCCAGTCTAGAGCTTTAAAGCCCAGCACGAGTAAGAGAATTGTATGATTATCTCCGTGTGTTTTAGTCAGGGTCTTTTGCTAAATGTATAGACTACAGCCTCTCTAGCCACAGGCCAGAAAATGGGTATCTGTGACATGATGGATACTTTAATTTGTCACACCATAGGGTGGTTTTACTCTACAGTGGGCCCCTGAGCAATGTGGGGATTTGGGGAACCTCATCATGACCCCTGCAGGTGAAAATCCTAGTACAACTTTTGAACACTCTGGTCCCTTTTGGCCATCCCCAAACTTCACCTGTTGATTGGCAAACTCAAAGTTGATTCACACACACACACACACACACACACACAAACACACACATTTCATGTCATATGTATTGTTTATGGTGTATAAGTCAGAGGACAACCTCAGCTATTGATCCTCAGGCACCATCCACCTTGTTTCTTTGAGGCAGAGTCTCTCACTAGCCAGGAGCTTGCCTAGTAAAGTAGGCTAACCTGGCTTGCCAGCAAACCCAGAGAGTGCCCTGTCTCCATCTCCCCAGGATGGGTATTGCAATCACAGGCCACCATGCCCAGCTGTTTTTACATGCATTCTGGAATTGAACTTAAATCCTTGAGCTTCGACAGGAAGCACTCTACTGGCTGAGCACCTCCTAGTCCCAGAGATCACTTATTATTATTATTATTATTATTATTATTATTATTATTATT